GTTTAAAGAAAAACCCAAAGGTGCCCTTTCGGGGGGGGGCACATACCCGTGTGTCACAAAATCAGAGGCTTCTCCAGGTCAGTTTCGTGATGTCCCTTTAAAACAATCTATGGCGAACACGCTAAGATACCCAACGAGCTGTTGTGTAATCAAGTGTTGGAACCAATTTTGACATCCAAGTCATAGACACCTTCTCGATGCTTCTTTGTGTGGGCGTGTGACCCTCTAAATTGCTTTTGGTTTGGTTCTTCACTGAACAGGGGAAAGCCCAAAACCCAAGATGGGTCCCCTTTTCTACCGGGGTTCCTGGGTGTGTCAAAGGGTTCAACGATTATGGTCCCTGCTTAGTGGCCGGATGAGCCAACGAAGCGCTCACAGGCTCACTGCTTTTTTCCCTTCGTAGCCAAGCTGAACGATCAACTGGAGGTTCAGACAAGTTGTACGGTTCATTTGGGAAGGACATGGGGACTCACTAAATGTCCCACAAAAGCCGCGGACACACTAAAACTTCCATGTGTCTGTTGGGGGCACAAGGAATGTTGATTGTGTCTCGCAAAGATACGGTTTCCCATGTTTACGCTGATATGGTTCCTTTACGTCAGAATCTCTTCATCCCCTTGCCGACGTTATGAATGTTCAGTGCGGATCCTTTCGTGAACATGTTTTGAATGAGATTCATGTCAACCAGCCATGTTTGTAGGGTTCTCTATATCTTTCATGGTTACCATTGAACCCCTCGGTCCCGGTAGCTTCGGTTTGGCGTGGGAATCCTCTTCGAACCTACTAACCTTCATCTGTTCCCTGCTAGCATGCCCTTTTTACCAGGTGTCATGTTGCCATTGCGAATCTTCTCAAAATAGGGGTCCTCTTTTGGTTGGTCTTGGAGGAAAGTCAAAGATGGAGAACCACTCATGTTGTACGGTTCCCTGTAGAATTGCCCTCTCGATTTTGCTAAGTGCCAAGCTTCTACCAACTCCGTAGAGCAATTTTGCTGGGTGCCAAATTTCTACCAACTGGGGTCGAAGAGCAATTTTGCTAGGTCCAAACTTCTACCAACTTGGCTCGCAGTGCAACTTTTTGGAGTGGCAGATTTCCACCCACTTGGGTCGAAGATCAATTTCTTTGAGTGACACACTTCTACCTGGTAGCTTGGTTGAGTGTAGCTTGGCACAAAAAGTTGCGAACAAAAAGTGTAGCTTGGTTGAGTGCCGAGTTTTACTGGCTTGGCTCGAAGAGCAACTTTTTGTCAGTGACAAATGTCTACCCGCCCGGGTTGAAGAGCAATGTTTTGGGTGCCAAATTTCTACCACCTTGCGTCGAAGGTGCCAAACTTCTATCAACTTGGGTCGAAGAGCAACTTCTTTTGAGCGCCAATTGTGTTTTCCAATTTGGGCCGAACAGCAATTTTGCCGGGTGTCAAATGTCTACAAACTTGGTTCGAAGAGCACTTTTTTCGAGTGCCAAACTTCTGAGCTTGGGTGGAAGAGCAACTTTGCAGGGTGCCAAACTTCTACCAACTTGGGTGGAAGTACAGTTTTGCTGGGTGCCAAACTTCTATCAACTTGGGTCGAAGCGCAATTTTTGCGAGTGCCAAACTTCCACCAACTTGGGTCGAACAGCAATGTTGCTTGGTGCCAAACTTCTTCCAACTTGAATGGAAGAACAATTTTGCTGCGTGGCAAAACCTCTACCAACTTGGGCCAAAGAGCTATTTTCCTGGGTGCCAAATTTCGGTCGAAGAGCAATTTTGCTGGGTGCCAAACTTCTACCAGCTTGGGTGGAAGAGCAATTTGCAGGGGGTCAATCTTCTACCAACTTGGGTGGAAGAGCAATGTTGCCGGGTTCCAAACTTCTACCAACTTGGGTGCAAGAGGAATTGTGCAGCGTGCCAAACTTCTACCAACTTGGGTCGAAGAGCGATGTTGCTGGCTGCCAAATTTCTACCAACTTGGGTGGAAGAGCAATTTGCAGGGGGTCAAACTTCTATCAACTTGGGTGGAAGAGCAATGTGCTGGGCGCCAAAATTCTACCAACTTGGGTGGAAGAGCAATTTTGCTGGGTGCCAAACTTCGACCATCTTGGCTTGATATTTTGAGTTCCAAACTTCTGCCAACCTGGTTCAAAGAGCAGTTTATACCAACTTGGTTGGAAGACCACTTTCTGTTGAGTGCCGTTTGTTTTTCCAACTTGGGTCGAACAGCAATTTTGCCGGGTGCCAAATGCCTACCGACTTGGTTCGAAGAGCAATTGTGCAGCGGGCCAAACTTTCACTAACTTAGGTCGAAGAGCAATGTTGCTGGGTGCCAAACTTCTACCAACTTGGGTCTAAGGGCGATGTTGCTGGGTGCTAAACTTCTCCCAACTTGGGTGCCAGCTTGAGACATTTGGCGAGGCAAGCTCACCATGCTGGACATGTTCGAGGGCGATGGCGCCTCCCGTGCCCCGGGGGACCTGAACTTCGGGAAGCGCTTCCTGCCGGAGAACAAGGCGGAGGCCGACGTGTTGGCCACGCCCTTCGGCTCCACGAACCGACCGGGTGGCAGTCACCTTTTTGCACACGCTTCCATTTGCTTACCCAAGGGCAAAAGGGGCAGCAACCCTCCTACACCCCCCTGATGTGTTTGGATGTGGTTCGCCAACCTGCCAGCCCCTTTACCTTCCATTTGCTGAAACATATGTTTTCTGTTCCCTTGTTGGTGTTAAAGGGAATCTATCACTACTGGAAATATATTTGTTTCCATTCGGCTTACCCAATGAAAGCACATGGGCTTGCCTGAGAGAGCCTCGAAAACAACCACAGGGTGTTTATCCTAAACCAGGGAACCCTGAAAAAAAGCCCGGGAGGTCAGAAACTGGTGCGAGATTTTAGCCAACAGTATTTATGGCTTAGACAAGGCATGAGTCTGCAAATGTTATGGCGAGCTCACCAATTCGTGTGCAGAGCGAACTCACCGTGAAGGTCCTTTAGTTGATTTCCTTGTGTCTTCTGAATTGTTATAGGGAACCACCTCAAGAGTGCTTGGTGGATATGTGTTTCCCCACCTGAACGATGTCCACCAAGGGTCCGGGATGCCGAAATCTTCACACGCATCTGTGAATGAGACAAACTTCTCCAGATTGGATCCAAAAAAACTTTCCCTTGGGCGAGCTTGCTTTGCTCCAAGGGCCTGGCCTTGGTTTCACGGGGGGCAGCCCGGGAGGGTTGGATCCCATGAATGAGGGTGGTATTTTGGGCCAAGCCGGGGGGAGGGGGGGCATTTTTGAACTGCCGCACCCCCGCCGCTGGGCAGCTAACAGAGGGGTCATGATCTAGAGACTTTCCCACAGGGGCTATGTTGGTGGCAGTCTGGTTGTTGACTTCTCAGTGTTGGACACGTCTCGTCATTTGACAGCCGGTTTCATCCAACTTCGTTACACTTTATGCATTTATGCACATGCAATTGCGATAAGTTGCAAGCAAATCGGGGTCGCTAGCCCCGTTTTCCATGATATAAATAAATGAATATATATATATATACATACGGTTGCACCGGGTTTTTTGTTCAGATGGATAGATAGATGAAATGGGAAGAGAGAGAGAGAGAAACACAGAGACGAAGGTGTGAATCGCGTGGCAGGCGCAGCACTTTCGCAAGGTCAAGTGCAGACTTCGTGGCAGGCGCAGCATTTTCGCAATGCCGAGTACAGATTTCGTGGCAGGCGCGGCACTTTCACAAGGTCAGGTAGAGATTTCGTGGCAGGTGCAGCGCTTTCGCAAGGTCAAGTACAGAGAGAGAGAGAGAGAGAGAGAAAGACGGAAAGAATTCCAGGAATAAATAAATAAAGAAAGAAAGAAAGAAAGAAATAAAGAGATAGAGAGACAAAGAGAAAGAGAAAGAGAAAGTGCAGATAGATAGAAAGAAACAAAAAGAGAAAGGAAGAAAGAAAAGAAAACACGAAAGACAGAAAGAAGTAGAAAGAAAGAAAGATGAAACAAAGAAGGAAAGAAAAGAAAGAAAGAAAGATAAAGAGAAAGGAAGAAAAAAAGAAAGAGAACGCGAAAGACAGAAAGATAGACAGAAAGAAGTAGAAAGAAAGAAAGATAGAAACAAAGAAGGAAAGAAAAGAAAGCAAGAAAGAAAGAAAGAAAGAAATAAAGAAAGAAACATAAATAAAGCAAGAAAGAAAGAAAAGACAAAGAAAGAAGGACAGGAAAGAAAGAAAATAAAGAACGAAATAAAACAAACAAAAGGAAAGAAGGAATGGAAAGGAAAGAAGGAAATGAAAGAAGGAGGGAAGAAAGAAAGGAAGAAAGAAAGAAAGAAAGAAAGAACGAGAGAAAGAAAGAGCGCAACCAAAAAAAAACAGTCAAGCCCTTCCTATAGGCACTCTTCTCGCTTTAGAAACTTCCGTCCACCGGCTTCGCCGGCTCTACTGGTATAAAGTGGCAACATGATGTCCCATCGTTTACCCCTATCATGACTAAATGTGGTTTAACGTACCCTCAGCCCTATTCTAATTACTTAGTGGCCCTTTCAGGGCTTTTTTGAGTTGCACACTTGTCGACTGCAAACAAAGGTTGGAAGCGACTTGTGCGGGTGTTCTTGACTTGGTTGTTCTTTGTTACGACAGCCTATGATCCTTTTGGAGACGAGGGTTTGCCAGCTGCGTGCACAGCTTTCACGTGTTGTGGAGGTCAGACATGTTGGTCAGCATTGCCCCCCCAAGAACTCCTGAGTGTTGTGTTGCTTTGTGGAGGCAGCGAGCAATAGGTTGTTTTTGGCACACACTCCCACCAACAAGCAAGGAAGTGCACGGACTCCTTTGCGACAGGAACAAGCGTTTTCCAGAAGGGGTTTGGTGCACTTCCCGGGTTGTTGGTGGAGGGGTTGTTGTTGTCAACTAAGCAATCACATTGGCAAAGTGCCCTTGAGACGGCTCAAGCAGCCCCTCATTGGTGACTTGGATTGGTGGGATTTGGGATTTCACCCCCCCAACCTATCCAAACCAATCAGGGGCTTGATGATCGGCCTAGTTCTTTGCAAGGATCCTTCTTTTCAGAAAGCCTTGACACATCAAGGAAAAATCGCCTCTGACAAGAACATACAATAATTGTGGGAAAGGAATCAACCTCTCGAATGCTACCGGACCGGAAGGGTTCTCGCTCCCAAAGTGGGCAACTCCGAAGTTTCCGACCCGGGGGACTCGCCAAGTTTCCCATGCCCCAGTCATTTTGGTGTGTGTGTCTTTTGAGGGTACCATTTGGATGGTAAGGGAGAGACCACAGAGAAAGCCACCCTTTGGCCCTAGTCTTTCAACGGGGGACAAATCTCTCCGATTTTTGGACCTAAGAGTCTCCAAGCGAATCGATGTCCACGACAGCGGTTGACTGGTGGCCCGTGGCCCCGTTCTGCTTAGGAAGGAGCTGAGCAACGGGCGCTTGGCGATGCTGGCCTTCGCGGGCATGGTGCACCACAACCTGGTGGTGCCCTGGCGTGCGTAGAAAGCGTGGTCCGGCGGTTGATTGCGTGGAGCTTTTTTGGTTGGAAAGCAGCGGGCGAGTCCTGGTTTTAGCTGCTGGTGCAGTCATAGGGCCATCTATTTTCCAAGAAGGACATGCCTTTGACGTTATGCCCTTCCACAGCGCCCCAAACTGGTTGCTGAAAAGGCCACTGTAGGTGGTTCAGTGGCTCGGCTCCTATTTGGTTTCATGGGGGGCTTATTGTAAGGGGTATACAAACCCCGTGTTGGAAGCACCACGTCGATGGGTTTCGGGCGCTGCTCATACTCGTTGTGACATTGCAGTGGGAACCACCTCACAAGTTGTTGGTGGACATGACTCCCACCTATTTGATGTCCACCAAATGGTACCTAATTAAAAATCATAGGCATATGTGTCCCCCTTGTTTCCATGTTTTTTGACTTGTGGTTTTCCAAAAGCCTTGGCACCACTTCCCCTTTCAACCCAGCAGCCAAGGCCTTGCCTGTTGACCTTTTGCCATTTGGGATTTCATGCTGAGAGGAATCCCCTTCGGGAAATGGAGTGCTGGGGTCATTTTGAGGATGTTGTTCTTTTCATGCACCAGTTTCAACTTCCAGGCGTTCCCGGAAACCAAGGTTTTGCCCAAGGAATTGAGGGGATTTCTATCAAGGTCCCTTTTAACCCAAAGGTTTTTCGCCTGTTTCGGGTCGATGTCCAGGTGAAGGGCCCTCTGTTCCCTCTCTTCCCCGAGGGCTGGGCGGGCCCCCAGGCCGGGCGCTTGAGCCGGGTGGGTCAATGTCTGTGTTTTGGTCGTTGGGGGTTGGCTTAAAGGCTCGGTCCCCCAGTAGCGCTCTTTTACCCTTTTTTGGTTGGGAGGGTTCCCCTACTAAAATAGACTACAGAACAAAGGGTGCCCTTATTCTAACCTCTCTACTGGAGGACCTAGAAGGACAACGGGGAAGCAGCCGTTTGGGGAGTCCCCCTAGTTTGACCAGGCCTTCTTTTTGAAAGTGAAATTTTGAGTAGTCTTCTCGCAAGTCCCCAACTGCCTCACGCGAGTTTGCGCCGGGAAGTGCTAAAGTCTCAACATGAGGTGTAGTTACAACCCATTGGTGTGTGTGTGTGTGTGTGTGCGGGTTTGTTTGTGGTAGTTGCCCAATGACGCCCTTTATTCTCAAGGGTATGGGCTGAGGGAAACTCTTGCAACCAGTATCCCTTTCAGATTTGTGAAATGATATGGGGGTCTAAAAATGGGACCCCCCCCCAAATATATATATATATATATATATATATATCAGCGTTGCGGTTTGTTTTTCTTTCCCCTATAAACCAAGCCCAAAGGGGTACCATCAAAAGACACACGCACACACACACACACACACCCACACCCACACCCACACGCACCCACGCACCCACGCACCCACGCACCCACGCACCCACGCACCCACGCACCCACGCACCCACGCACCCACGCACCCACGCACCCACGCACCCACGCACCCACGCACCCACGCACCCACGCACCCACGCACCCACGCACACGCACACGCACGCACGCACACGCACACACACACACACACACACACACACACACACACACACACACACACACACACACACACACACACACACACACACACACACACACACACACACACACACACACACACACACACACACACACACACACACACACACACACACACACACACACACACACACACACACACACACACACACACACACACACACACACACACACACACACACACACACACACACACACACACACACACACACACACACACATCATGATTGAATCCTTGAGTTATTTCACAAAATTTAAGCTCTTGTTTTTTTGCATGCCCCTAAACTCTGTTTTCTTGAGCATCCCCGTTTGGATTCGGTTTGGACTTTGATTTTTAGGGGTTATGGTTTTGTTGGCCAGCCTATCAATCATGCGCAAGGCTCTCAAGACGGGTGTGGCATGTTTGGGTTTTGCCGGCCTTTTGCGCCAGCGCACTGGTTGCCTCTTCTGAAGGCTTCTCAAAACTACGTTGAGCCCTGGGCAATGGCAAACCATTGAACATCAACGGTTTCAATCTGGGCCACTTGGGCCGCACGTTGAATTGTGCGGCCCCTGTGGTTTGCCTTTGAGCCACGATGTTCGACCGGAGAAACGGCCAGGGCTCCTGGGACTTGGACTCGACCGCCGGCGCGCTGAACAGCGGCTCCCTGGGCCTGTGAGCGAGTCCGAACTCCGACTCGAAAAACTGCCAGCTCTTAGAATCACAGACGGTGGATTGCCATGGAGCTTTGGAAGCGTTTCATGACTTCAGACACGGCTTTTGTCCCTCCCCACCCAAACAAAATGGATGGCAAGTGAGAAAGAAGGATGGTGGGAAGTGGGGGAGTTCTGGAAATTTCCATGTTCCACTGGGAATCGACCGTAGGTCTTTTTGACGCAGGCGGCGTTAAAAGATGAGAGCTGCTGCGCCGGGCTGTGGAAGTTTGGCCATGGGTCAAAACCCAAATCGTACCCCCAGTGAACATCCCAATCCCCACTAAAATAGGTTCTAAGATGGGTGGTGCACCTACCCCAAAATGGGATCCCATTGGTGTTGACCCACGGCCTTTTGGGTTTCAGGGCCACTTTCTGCGATACGAGGGGAATCCCCTAAGTGCTAAAGTAGTCATGGGAATGAGCCATGTAACCCCAGATTTCGGGTGATTTTCCACATGCGATTGGCTCTTCAGGGCTGGGTGGGGTTGTCCAATGGTTCTGCCCAATGGCGAGCTGGGGGTAAACGGGGTCTATGGGCCTTGCCCTTCTTTCCGGTTTTGGGTGTAATGTTGACCCCATATCAATCAACCCCAGTTTATAAGTAGGGGGGTGTCCCTGGGTTTAGTACGGAAGCATCACTTTTAGAGGGGAACTCCCCCTACAAATAAACTGGGGTTAATGAAATACGTGGTCAACAGTAGTGAGATGTTGCTCTTGTTGGGACCCACACATCATGGCCGCTTTAACGCCGGGGAAACCAAAAGGCCCGCAAGTTGAGATGTGGTGTTTTCTTTGTTGCCTGTTTGATGTTTTGAGGCCACCTCAAGAGATGAATGTTCGATCCGAAGCCCAAATATAAGTGGCTTGCCGGTTTCTTGAGCTCTCCCTTCCTCCCGCTTGCCCAAGTGGCGCCCTGCTGTCCTTTGCCTTAGGCCACGTGTTTCATCTGTTTGGTTTGGATGGGTGTCAATGTCCCTTCAAAATCAACCAACAAAGAAAGACTGCTAGTCTTTCCCCGCGGAAATCCATTGGGCTGAGAAATCAGCTAAGACTATGGTGTGCTTTTGTTGCTTTCTTGGTCACTGGAGGGTGTGAGAAAGAAAAACATGAAATCAATCCGCAAGATTCTTACGCCAGACGTGCTTTAAGGGTCTGAATATTTGAAATTGGGGTCGGGTATTCGAAAACCAGACAAAGTCATGTTTATAAGAAACCTATGTCAACTTAACCCCTTCCTTGTTGCACTGGTTTCCCGCAGATTTTCGGATTAGGGAATCGGCCCCCACTTGCACTGGGTCTCTGAGTGGGCCTTTGAACTGAGCAAAGAGCTGCTTCGTCCCAGTTACTATGTGCAAGACTACACCCTGGTGGCATCCGATGACACCCGGCCGTTGATGTGTGCGCCCGGACTCACACCCACAGGCGATGCGATGCGGGAACGGCAAGCGTTTCAGGCGTTTCACTTCAGCACCGGTTTTGCTTCTCTAAGTTTAGCTCGTTGGTTGTGTGAGTGGGTGTTTGTTAATGCAACCGACAAACCTGGTGTGCTTTTCAAGCCAGCCAACGAACGATCTACTCATGGGGTTGGCTTGCCTTGAAAATTCCGCTGTTACCCGTGGGAAGCCACTTGTTGCGAGTCTGTTGACCTTTTTGGCTCTAAATGCCGTGTCCTTTTCCGGGGGCCTCTTTGTTTTCCCTTGCGGCTGGTTCAAATCTTAGGTGCAAATCGCTGGAAGCGTGTTTTGGGGTCCCAAAAATGGGACGCCGCCTGTCGGCCACCCGGGTTGAGCCCGAACAATATGACCGCCACCTTTTCGGGCAATATTGCTCTGCGGAAGAGTGTCAGGGAACCCCAAGATGCTGCGAATCCTTTTTTGGGGGACCCCCGTTTTGCGGTTCGGGGAGTATAAACACTTTCATCCCAAAAGTCACCTCGAGGGTTGCTAAAAACTTGGGGGTGTTGCGGCGGCAAGTGCATCCGAGTGAAAAACGGTTCATGGGAAAGGGAATGAATGACGCTGGCATCACAAAGTAAACACGGCACTCAGTGTCAGATAGCAGGGCTCTGTATATTTTGTTCTTTAGGTGGTTGAAATGTCTGTGTGCGGCAATTTCTGGAGGACGTTCCCATTGGTAGAGTTATTTTCTAAGGCGATGTATTAATAAGGAACCAACGGGCCCAATGTCGCATCAACCTGTTGGGGAACCTTTGTATGTTTGCCCTGAAGGGGGCAGACTTCCGTTTTAAGAGCGAGACGCATGCGCCAGGCAACTTCAGTGCCTCTCTTAGACAGGAGAGTTGAGGCAGTCTGGAGAGGTGTGTCCGGAAGACTACAGGGACATCAGTTGTTGTTCGTGCAGCCGGTAAAGTAAAAGCACAAGGACATTTCGTGTTGTTGGTGTTTCTGGTTTGAAGGTATATCCACCGGGACATAGTATTTGTTTGGGCCGGTTGGAAAGGGTCTCACAAGTTTTGGACATCAAGTATCAACCTTCCGCTTTTTGGAATCCTTCTTTTCGGAAACAACACAAAAGAGGAAAGTGCATGGTGTTTGAGAAGAAGGATGCCCAGGTCTTCGTTTGGCATCTTTGTTTTTGTTCCCACCTCGAACGGATCCTTTTTGGCAAAACAGCCATTTTGGAGGAAACGCGGCTTTTTTGGAAATGAGTGCTTATAGGGGACCTCGTGCATAGAAGGTGTGAAACAGCGAGATTTTGGCCAAACAATTAGGCCGCACAGCGGGAGCAATTCCCTGCAACAAGGGCGCAATTTCGCTCACACGGGCGCAATTTCAGAAGCGTACTTGTTGGCTGTCCGTCTTCCTTTGCGTATTGAGGAAAATGATCACGGTTTGAGCAAACGGCATGGTTTTCACGAAGATCCAGGTGATTGAACATGGGATATCAACCCGGATCAAAAGCGCCGCAATTCACGCTTGAGGCTGCAAGATGTTCGATCGCTACTTTGCAGTCTTCGTCCGAGCCTGAGAGCAGTTGAATCTTCGTGTACTCTTCAGTACCTCCCAGACTTCCAGTACCCTTTAGGGGTTTCCCCTAACCAAAAAGAGGGCACGTGTCTGGGACCTCACCCGGGGCCTCCAAAGGTTATATTGGAGGTCTCAAAAGAGATGGGATCCATCAAAAGGGACCCCCAGGAAAGGTACCCGAACAGGTTTGGGCCTCAGCCGAACATATATCTTTTGGAACCATTCACAAGTCGCCGATGCCGGCATACCTCAAAACAGGGGTGGATTCAGGAAAGTAAGACACGGTCCCAGCCATAAATGGGTGCGGATATCCGCCATGTTGATTCTTGACATGGTTTTGGGTAGACCCTTTGAGAAAACCGGACTGGCAGTGACCCACATTGTTTTTATTCTCGTAGTATGTGAATTACTAGAGCATATTTTGCCTGCCCCCTTTTATGCAACCACTCAGTACTAGCTCTGCCTGTAGTGACGCATGCCCCCCGTCTATGTGCCCAGTGACCCCTCAAACCTCCCCGTTGGAACGGGGTTCCCTACATCAAGTACCAAACTAGTCCACTCGGAAAACTCATCCGGAACTGACCAAACCTAAAGAGTAGATAATCATCGTTAGGCAGTGGAGCTTTTCCATTGCCAGAGACCACGAAACCTACCCTCGTGCTCGGGTCGAATGCGGAGAGCAGCCCCGTTTGCTGGGTTTGCTTTTCCACCCGGCGAAACGTCGACGGAGGAGACGCCGTACCCCACCTGCGAGAGCTCGAGCTGCAAGGTGCGCAGGGGGGCAAATTGGATTCTCAAAAAAATGGAATCGAACCCTCAAAATCAGTTGGTCTCCTTTTGTCCCCTTTAAAACCGCTCAGGAAAAAGGCACCCAAGACACAGTCAAAGAAAGACGCTCACACTGGGCGTGGATTTCATTTGAAAACGTGGACATCGGTTTGGAAGATTTGTGTCCGCCAAATGCTGGGAGGGTATGCCTCATTGAAAATCATAGCCAGTTGGCTCTTGGGGCCCGTCGTTTTCATTTCCGGGGTTTGCCTTTTGGCCGCCTGTTCCAGGAAATCTAGACGCCAAAGCTGAAGTCCCATTGATCAAAAGGAACCTGGGATTGATCAACCTGAGGACCTATTTCAAAAAACTAATTCGGTTGTCTCAAACTGGGCTTGCCAAATGGATTCTTTCCTTTCGCTGTCAGCCTTTGCGGGCATTTGGGGGCTTTGATTTCCCATGGTAGGCATCCCCCAACCCCCGTAAGAGCTGGGGTGGGCTGCATGGCCAAAGACGTCTCTGGCATTTTTTTACTGTTTTTCCACCAGGAGGATGGCAGTCGTGTCCGTTCCCCACCACTAAAACAAGCCCAGGAGGACAAAACCAAACATTTGTCACCCGATTTGTTTTCCTTGGGGTCCAGGGACGCCCGGGTCCAACCCCATTCGATGCAACACATCGGCTCCGCGCGGCCGTCTGGCCAGGTGCCGCCGGATGTGTCCACCATGGCGAACTTCGCAGCTTGGGATCCCAACAGGCGGGACGAGAAGTCGCAAGGCCGCGTTTTGGAAATCCATCCATCCCCCAAAAAGTCAAAAAAGAAGGATCACAAATCATACGTGTCCCCCAGAAAAATCCGAGCAGAAGCACACCAAATCCAAGTAGCTTTTGGGGCACTCCATGCTTTCCCAAAAAAAACCTTGGGTTTTCCCATGGGGAGAGGTGATCTTCCGCCCAGACGGGTGAAGTTCCGTAACTTGCTGGGGCTCGGAGCTGCGAGCGCGGTTTGTTTCAGCAGAACGTCTGGGGACCACCCAACGCCTCAAGCTCTTGGCGTCGATCCTGATCCCGCACCGAGATGAGATGGACGCGATGGCCCCTCCAGCCAAGAATCCTTGGGCCCCAGGTTGCCGGCATTCGGAACACCCAAGGAAAATAAAGTTCATGAAAGGCCAGGAAGCCAATCAGATTATCCCCAAGCCACACCGGTTCCCTAACAACAAACCCTGGAAGGGGCCAACCATCAGGTATTTTGTAGTGTTTTTTGGGGGTTGGTTGGATGTATAGATTTGCCTTCCACCACCCCCTCTTGAGTCTGCTTTTCAGGTGCCAGTCACCTTCATAGGGCACCCTTACTTTGGCAGGGATGCTCACCCGTCCAGGAACGCTCGGGAAAATGACCAGAGTTTACACAGTACTTACTCATTTGTTTTGTTGGTTTGCGGACAACCCCTGTTTTGGTTGGTGAATCAATAGAAGCAAGGGGAACAATTACTCGCCCCGAAAGTACATGCCCCGTGGTACCTTTTATGCTAATGATGTTTTTGGGGGGACCTCCTCCAAGGTGGTTGGCGGAGATGTACACCAAAGGGTCCCTAGTTGGAATTCACTCCCATATACCCCATATACCACTGTAGGTTGGTGCTCCTAATCGGTAACGATATATGGTTGGGGCACGTGGCAACTCCCCTGGATTGAATGTACCCACATCAATCAAGCTTGCACATTCGGGGCGGTCGATCATTTGCAAGTATTTCAACTTCCAGAGCAGATTGTACAAATCAATCGAGGGTTTCACAAGGTTCAGCCTTCGGCAATATTTCACATGTGTTTGCACTTTATGATTATGATGATCATGGAAATGACATACATTCCAGATTTGCTTTGTTCAATATCAATCTTACTCCAATATGACAGATGGTAGTGGCTTCCCTTACAGTGGTGTCCCACCACGCATTGTGGATTAAGATCAGGAGTCCATTTTGAACCAGCCAGATTCAGGTTTGAGCATCGAGTCTTTCTGGGGAAACCTCAAAGACTCGTGTTGGATTCCTTCGTAGTCTCCGGATCAACATGGAACCCAAAGCAAGAGACTCGTCTGATTGTGAGAGCTTCGTGGGTTCCATCGTCAGATTTGTTTAAAGCACTTGGGCTTGGAAGAAAATGAGCGACGTCTGCCAGGTCTACGGACAACAGGTATTGCCCGGAGCCACAGATTCTCCGGATTTGGAAATCAAGCCCTAGGCTTGATTTCCTATTCTCGTTCAACCATCCTTTGCAGAAACCTGCCCTGCTCCCTGTTTTGGGGCGCTTTGTTGGCAAGAAGGAGTCATGAGCGTCCAAAATGGAAAAGTTCTCAGCGGAAGTTTTGGAACCCTCCCAATTGGTTGGTTTCCTTTTGTGATGCGCAGAGCCCAAAACTGGTTTCTGTTGGCCATTTTCATGGTGGGCCTCTTGGGGGCCCGCAAGGCCTACAAAAACCGGTACCATGTTGGTAGAACCCAAACGATGGGTTTTGCACAAAAGTCCAACGAAGCCAGTTTGCCCATGTCCTCTTTGGGTCATATCTCAGCTGCTTACTTTGGTTCAGGAATTTCATGTTCGTGGCAAATTGAGTTTGTGGGCAACTTTCTGTGAGTATAGTTTCTGTTATACCATGAGACTTCCTTCCAAGTGATAAGAGTAGCCACAGGGACTTTAGTATCACAGAACGAGGTATTTCCCACAGCCATGGTTTGGCTTCCCTTCATCCATTCAAAGGGGCTCCCCATTAGAATGCTCCCCTTCTGACTTCCCGAATTGCCGGAACTCTTTTTGAGGGGGGAAGACAGTTTTATTGGGAAACAGAAAGGCAACTGCACTTTCCGACCAATCCACGGCGAAACCCGCCAAGTGGCCAGCCGAGGTCCCGACATCTCTCCCAGCGAGCTCCGAACTCAGAACATGCAAGGTGGTCGAGTGTCGGGCGGTTGGGCGCTCACGGGGAAATGGATCCACTCAAAAAAATTAAGAGACAATCGTTTCTACCCATCTGAGAGGAAATCACCAAGTTGGAGCGGAATGTTCAGGTGGACAATCGTCCAAGAAGCCCCTATTAAAGGGACCCGTTTCGACATTGCTAGATTGTGTCCTGACCTTTTTGCCCTGTTATCTTTTTGCATTCCTTCCGGCAGAAATTAAACTAGCCCAGTTGGGATCTGCATTGGAAGCCGACGCTATCCCTTGTTTTCAAAGTTGTAGATACGTCACTGATATGAGCAACTGAGAAACTACTGGTAGTCTATTGTTAGTTTGGGAAGGGATACAGGGCGCTCGCTCAAGTGTCCCAAAACAAATCAGGGGCCCGACGCAACTCGGCCTTTAGGCCACCTCGGCCGGGAGTTCCTCCGAAAGTCATAGGACTTAACCCCCGCCTCCCTGCTTCCCTGTTTCCACAAATAAAACCCTCACACTGCCTTTCAAGAAGGCGTTGTTTGAAGCAAACTAAGTGGAGGGGGTAGGGGTGGATCCTATGAGCCGACACATCTATGAGCAAACAGCGGGCCGCAGGACATGCCCTTGCTTTCATGTTTTGTCACCGGCTAAATGAATTGCTTATTGTTTCATATTGGTCTATCTCTTTTTGAGGGTACCCCTTTTTTGGCGGATTCAAAGGGAAACCAACAGGACCCCAACCATTTTGTGGGGTCCCCTAAAAAAAGGACACCCCCATATGTACCACATTTAAGTTATGATGCTAGGACCACCTGAACACGTGCAGATCCGCACCGTCTTTTCTCTCTTGGCATCCGCCTCACGGCCAGCATTGCCCGCCCAGTCCCTTGCCCCACGGGGGAGTTTGTGGTGCTCTTTGCGCGCCCGGATGGAAGGCACAGCTCGCAGCCTCGGACCCAAAGCTGCTTGTTTCGAGCTCCAAGAGGAAAAAGGTCACAGGAGCAACGGATAATATTTTTGGGTGTGCATATTTGCATTTTTGTCGTGGGGACCACTTGGACATCATTTTCGGTGGGGATTTATGTCTGGCGATGTTTCAGGATGTTCCTTGTTGAAATGAGAGCCAGTTGCTGTCATCTACATCTACTGCAAAAAACAGATGGCATTGAACACACTCACCAAGCTACCAATAGAAAGTGGGGGGTGGGTACTTGCCAACAAACACGCACCCAGACGCCCCCCATACGAGGCGCCGATGAGCGAAGCACAACGGTAAAATCTTGGTGTGCGGCTTTCTTTTGTCTCCCTCCAGAACAAGGTTCTACGCCGAATGGGGCCAGCATGTCGGGGTTCAGGGGTTGCATGCGGTTCTTTCGGAAGGTGGAAAAGTTTGGATCCAGTCGACAGCTGGGACCGCCTTTCTGGGGCGTCTGAGCAGAAGGACCTTCCTTCTAAATGGATACCTTTTGTATACCCATTATGTATGTGGGGCGTTGTGGTATGGGACATGTGGCTGTCACATGCGTTGTGTGGCGTGGCGTGGCCTGGCGTGGTGTGGTGTGTTGTGTATGTGTTTCCCACAAAACCAGGGGCAACACAAATTTCAACCTTCACAAAAACCGCAAAACAGAACGACTCGTCCCATGAATCGTCCCATGAATCCGCACAGTGGGTTGCCGTCACCGACATGGCAGGTGCAGGACCTCTACCGCTGTGACCAGGGCCAATTTCAGGCGCTGGCGCTGGCCTTGCAACTCGTGCCGCCCTTATGCCGATAGGCTTTGACACCCATTCCTATACTAGGTCCCCCAGTAGTGCCCTTTTACCGTTTCATTTCTGGGGGAAGGTTCCCTACCTAAAATAGACTACAGAAAAAAGGGTACCCTTATTCTAGCCTCTCTACTGGAGGACCTAGTTTACATGGTTGTGTTTTTTTTAGGGGACCTCACAAAATGGCTTCGGGTTTCCTTGTGCTTTTGCTTTAAACCACGCCCCAAAAGAGACACATTGGACATGGCTTAAGTGGTTTCTGTGGTTGCCGTTGTCTGTGAGCCCAGGGAATTCCACTTTGGCATCACATATTTTGGATTAACAAGAAGGAGTTCCCAGATCTGCAGTTGTGCAGTTCCCTGGAAAGGGGACTTTCAGGTACCCTTTCCATTGCCAATCTGAAGTTGGGTGTTTTGGTTTGTTTTGTTCGTGTTCCTTTGCTTGTCCTTTGAACCAGCAAACATATTATTTTTCATGGAGTCTACGTGCTTGCTGTGTGCAGCTTTTGGACAATGTCAATTTTCCTCGCCAAGTAGCACAAAGCAGGGCTTGGTAAGATTTCTTTCGACAAACAGCTAGTCCTCTTTGAAGGGACGCCAGAAGGAGGGCTGGCTCCAAACATGATGAAGAATAGGGGCCCAGCCCTGGCACCTGTGTAACTGTCTAACGGTAGAGGCTAGTTAAAGACGCAGGTCATTGCTTTAGTCTAGATCAGCAGGGTCCCTGACATTTTAGATATCAGGTTTGACTAAATATGAAACAACATCTGAACATTTGTTTGGGGTTAGCCCCGGGGTTGGGCTGAAGGCGATTAAATCGTCTCACCTCCCAGGTTGAGTTACTCCTGTAGGTTCCAAGCCTTCAAAAGGTCAACCTGGGTTGGCTTGTGGGTGTGAATGTGCTCAGAGCAATTATGGTGGACATGATTTAATTCGGTGATTCATCTTCAACCACTTGTGCGGTGGCTCCCTATGGAAATTCATAGCCATTTGGCTAGGTGAATATATTTTTTTTTTCAAGGAGCCATGTTTCTACACAAATTTCGGATCAACCTGGTACAGTTGCGTTTTGTCCCATTTCCCCCGTTGTACAGGGTTTCTGCTTGTTTTAATTCAGGTGGTGTTTTAACATGACTTTTCGGCGCCTGAGTTGTCAAACAGGGCCCCGTTTTGAGACCCTGCTTACATTTAGCACCGCCCTTTTGAAGGGTTGACCAGGGGCTGTCCATAGTATAGTTCTGAGAACCTCACAGAGTTATCCCTGCTGGCCTAAATGGAAATGTCAAGAAGAGGTAAATGTGAGTTGGCTGTGCAACGCCGGCCAGGCTCCTTCTTGCAACCGCATGACTTGCCCAATGCCTTGCTCCCAGTGAGTGAGCGGTGGAGGCAAGTGCCCAAGACTTCCTCTATGGGTTTGTGTTTTTTGAGGGTACTCCCCCTTCAGAATTGACATGGGTGCGTCTAATTCGGGTGGTGGTTTTCCTTTGTGGTCTTTCTTTCACCCACCCCCAAAATCGGACCCTCACAAAACACACACACACACACACTGACACGCACACACGCACCCACACCCCTGGAATCACAACAACAGAATCAGCTTTAGAGTGCCCTCTTCCTGCGGCCTTCAAATGTTGCAGCGGAGTACTGTCTTGGTGGTTCTAAGGGCAATCATCAGAAACTCCTTGCGGCTTGGGCCCTGCCTGCTTACCTACCTACCTACCTACCTACCTACTTACGTACTAATCTACTTACCATGACTTACCTACCTACTGATCCTAGCTACCTGACCTAGCCAGACCAAGCTAAGCTAAGCTACTCTAACCTACCTGCCTGCCTGCCTGCCTGCCTGCCTGCCTGCCTGCCTGCCTGCCTGCCTGCCTGCCTGCCTGCCTACCCTACCTACCCGGAACCGCTCTTTCCTCAAGACTTGAAGCCGTGGGTGGAACGGCACCCAGGTCTGGTATCAGCGCTCTAATCAGCAGAACCCTTAGGTAGAATTGATGTTTGTTTTGCAGCGTGGCATTTTTGGGACATCCTTTTGGGCCAGTTACTACAAGCTCACCTGTTTTTTTTGTGTGTTCTCGAACTCAGCCATAGTGAAGGTCTGTTACTGAGAGATTCCATATGTACGGTGTGTGAACTATGAGAGTTTGCCCAGCTCTCTCCAAGAGAAAAGCATGTTTGGGGGAATGTTGTTTTGTCGGGATCAGCCTGGCCAACAGATTGCTTGGAACTCCCATCCGTTCTTCGTCGAGTTTGCTTTGCAGGCATCCAACCATTTGGGTCTGTCTCAAAATCAGCTGCCCCAAAAAAGCAGATTGTCCTCTTGGTTTCCCTTTGAACAAACCCCAAACGGGGTACCCTCAACAAAAAGGACCAGATCCTTCTTTCGCCATAGCTGAGGCCCCAGCTCAGCGGCCGTGCCTTGGATTTAGATTAGTGGCACCAAACTGGGGCAACGTGTAAGCTGTGAAGAGGAATTGCCATGAAGTTTGTTTCTCTTGAAGTTCCCCTTCTTTCAGGTTGATCACTGGAAGCTGAATGCAGAAAATTGGAAGGAGGGAAAAGTTCAAGGGGAAGGGGATGGAGAGTGAAACCAACCATTTGCCAGGGGTCTGGATTGCGGGGTCTGGATATGCTTGTCCATTGCGACCAAAAACGCCAAAACCGTGGCTTTCAGCGGGGTCCCAAACAACCGGGTCCGAAACAAAATGTGAGCTTGCCTTTCTCAGCTTTGCGCCTTGGGTTTCCTTGTTCCATTTCAGAGGTTGGATCCGTCTGGCCCAGTCCAATTGCCCGTGGTACATCTGTTTTCGGGGGGGGGGGGGGGGCAAAGCCTTGGGCCGCGCCTTGAGTTGTCAATGCGTTTGGGGTTCGCTGGTTCCTGCTAGGCTGTTAGTTCGCTCGGATGCCCTCAGGCTAGAATAGAAGCCATAGAAGCCAACAGGCCAGGTGACCCTTTCAAGCGGAATCTTCCCAAACAAAAGGGAATCTTCCAGGGAGGGCAGTTTTCAGGATTCATCAAAATGGACCCAGTCAAACATGGTTCCATACGGGATTCATCCCAAAACCACCTTTTTTAATCAGGAATCCTCTAAGCCTGATAAAAGTGATGCTTCAGCGGGCCCACATGTATCCCTTCAGGGACCTTGACAAAGGAGCCAAAGTTGGACAGAGTGTTTCTACGAGCTTGCCAGAGCTATGATCAAGAAGCACCATAAACACCATCCCTTTCCGACGGGGTTGGTTTGGCCGGTCATGAAACCTTTACCAGGTGTTTAGACAGTAGTTTATGTTAGCGTCGAGAATGGGTTCAGGTGGAGAAGGTGGCTTGCCCGAGAAAGTAGATATAGGTGGCCGCTCTGCGGGATTGATGATGCATCCGGACATTTGATAAAGTTTCGAATTGGACTGATTTGATTTGTTGTGTGGGAAATCTTGTTGCCGACCGCACCGTACTCATTAGGGCCGGTCTCTAGAATTGTTTAGTATTGGATCCCGAAAACGCACCGCGGATTGCAACCCAAGGGAGCCGGTGGTCAGATTGCGGATGAACGTCCCAAACGGCCCACCGGGAGGTCTGCAGGCAATAGCCACCACCTTGAGGGCACTGTCCGCGCCGGACTGGATGCAATTCGCATCTTCCATCGCATATGATGTCGACCTGGCGGCACTGGCGCTTCAGAACTCGGCAGGAGATGAAGCAAGACAGGCTTTCTTGATGATGGACATCCCTGGAACCAGGTCGGCCACACCCCAGGGGGTTCGCCCAGCCGGGGCTGTGACGCCACCGCAGCGGCCGGCGACTCCCTCGGCGGAGGGACTTGGCATTGACCCCATCTCACAGCCTTTGAACCATGGCATGGAGCTGGCGCACAATCGACTGGTGAGCGGGCTCTTTGGAGTTGAGACGTCACATCAACCTCCCAAGCCGATTTAGTAGCCCACTGTTAACATAAAAGGACGATTCCTTTTCAGGGAACCAGGACCATGGACATGGGGAGTGTTGACCTATGGAGCAAGTCCCCTAAACCAGGTCCCCTCTTGATACCGGGATAGTAATAATTTCATGTCCAGCGCCAACAAATCAACTCGAAGCGAATTTAATTTCCGTACCAGACAGCGTGTCCTAAACAAATTGTGTCGACCTCACTCGGGGATTTGGTGTGTGTATGTGTGTATGTGTGTGTGTGACCGGAAGGTCTCTAAATTGATTGTAGTTTCCGGGAAGCAACCGGGTCACAGCAACAAATGAGAGCCCCTCAAAACTGGGGTCTCCTCCGAAACTAGTTTATACTTAAGGCCATTTTGTTTCTCGGATTGTAGCATATTGTAGCCTTTGTGGCGGGCCTGGTTTGCAGGGGAAATCCGGGGGCAACTGGACACCTTTGAGACCAACTTAGATCTCAGCCACTCACGAGGTCTCGAGTGCGCAGAGGGGCCATTCTTTGGCGCCGCCGGCGCCCAAGAGGAAAGTTGACATGAGAGGATGGCTTCCATTTGCATAAGTTGTTTTAGTTTTTTTTGGGTGGACTTCAGAATGGGTGCTTTTTCCTTTCGGTGTCCCTGTAAAACCAATTGTTTGCCTTTGGTTGTCCTAATTTTGATCTCCCTGCAGGAGTTACCTTGTTGCATGTGTGGACAAATTGCCTTGCCCCTCTTGGCTTTGAAGGAGAAACGTTTGGGGCGCTATGAATTTTGATGCTTGGAATACTCTCCAAAATAGCAGAGGCGGAATGCAGGGATTGGGAAAGATGCGGAGATTGCGGAACTTGGCTTCGGAAAATATGGACTTGGGGTTGTGTTCTGTGATACCAAGGGAATCCCTTTCAAACTCAAACTGACCAAGTAGTCATTGTTGAATGACCCATTGCAGCACAGAACGTGATTTCTACGCTGAAGATGTGAGATGCCTCCATAATGTATACATATATATAGTTCCTTGTCTTTTTTTTGGGGGGGGGGATTAAGGCGCTCCAGCGCTTTGCAGGTTTGTCTAACAGAGGATGCGGAGAATAGAAGGCAAGTGAGGCTGGCAAGTTGGAATCCGTGCTACGAACCCTGCAATTTAACCTTGGGCTTTTGTTACATGTGCTTGATCCGCTCGTAATTGTTTGAATTTCGAAGGGTCACCTGCAACAGGGAATCCACTATCCAAATTCCTGCAATCATCGGAACGACCACCGAGCTTACACGGACCCCGGGAGGGAAACCCACAAGTGCAGTGAGTTTGGTGTGACAGTCACGTCTGGGACCTTTTTGAACAACTGATATAGTTTGGCGAATCATTGTAACATAACACTATGAGCTCGCCGATTCAGAGGTACTTCGTCCGCGGTCTCCATGATGAAGGTTCCATGCTTGGGGATTAATCATGGTGTTTCTATGTGGGTGTGTATGCTTCAGGAGGAGGCACCCCGTTTTGGTTAGTTTAGAAGGGGGACCAGAGGAGAAGCAGCCAACAAGTCGGGGGGTCCTGTTCAGAGAAACTCATGTCGATTTGCAGGAGTGCAAATACAAGAGCCTAGATCATTAGAACGGGGCTGTGGGATACTAAACAATATAGGACGATACAACAAGAAAATATACTGTCTTATTATTTAGCCTCTGACCTCCTATACCTCGTGTGCTCCTTAAGTTGTGAAATGTCGGCTGAGACCTGTGCCCTGCTCTGCGATCCGGGCTACGTGCCCTCGGACCTGCAAGCCTCCTGCATCACGCAGTCTATGGCGCCAGAGGCGTGGGGGGCCTCGCTTGGGCGTTAACGAGGGGGAACCCCTGCAGGTTGGGGGGATTGAGGGGGATTGGGGGGTTTGGGGGATTGGGGCGGGGGGTTCAGGTTATCCCCAATGGGTGCTGTGGGGATTGCTGATGGGATTTGAACTTCTGGTTCTTGCTTTACATGGGAAACCACCCCCATCCACCGAATGAACCTCCACACCCATGCAAACCATCAATTATAATATAGAGACTTTCCAACCAGTTTTTGAGAACCCCCACCTAAAGCCTGTGGTTGATTGCTGGAAGTCTTTCTGTGGGTGGTCAACATCTATGTCGCGCGGGGATGGATGACACCCTATTGGGATAAACCACCTACCAACTGTCACGAGGCAAAGTTTGTCTAGCCTTTCCCACCAATGAAACATTGGCAAAAACGGGGGATCTCGAAAACTTTGCTTGGACGCTCCAAAAAAGTTGCATTTCCTCTCTTTTTTTTAAAGCCACCCACAAAGAGGGTCCCGAAAACGGGATCAAGAACTCCCCGCAAGAACTCCCCGGTAAATCGGGCAACGTTTTGCTTTTCCAAACTTGCACATGATGGTCAGGCTTTCTTCTTCATTGAAGTCTAGCGCCAAACAGTTTGAGCTGATAGCATCTCAACCCAGCAGGTCAGGGGATGCGGAACTAGTAGGACCCCAATGTTTTTAAGGGTGTATATGTAGTGGTTGGGGCGGGGCATGCGCATCAAAAAAAAATTAATTCAGGATCAAAAAAAAATTAAATCAGGATCAAAAAAAAAATAAACCGTTTTACAAGCACACACACGTAGGCCCCAGGGCCAACCGGGGGTGGCCAGTTAGCAAGTTAACAAGTTAGCAATCCTTCGGGGGGGGGGGAGGGCCAGTTAGCAAGTTAACAAGTTAGTAAAGTCGGAGGGGGGGAGGGGGGGTTAGCAAGTTAACAAGTTAGGGGGGAGGGCCAGTTAGCAAGTTAACAAGTTAGTGAAGTCAGTGGCGGGGGGGGGGGGGGTTAGCAAGTTAACAAGTTAGCGAAGCAATGCTTCGGGGGGGAGGGCCAGTTAGCAAGTTAACAAGTTAACAAGTCAGTGAAGTCGGGGGGGGGGGGTTAGCAAGTTAACAAGTTAGCAATCCTTCGGGGGGGAGGGCCAGTTAGCAAGTTCAGAAGTTAGCAATCCTTCGGGGGGGGGGGGGCGAGGGTCTGTTAGCAAGTTAGCAAGTTAGCAATCCTGAGAGAGGGAAGGGCCAGTTAGCAAGTTAGCAAAGTCGGAGGGGAGGGGGCGAGGGGGGGCGGAAGTCAGCAAGTTGACAAGTCAGCACTCCTTCCGGGGGGAAGGCCAGGTAGCAAGTTAACAAGTTAGCAATCGGGGGGGAGGGCCAGTTAGCAAGTTAACAATCTAGCAGGGGGGGGGAAGTTAACAAGTACTACTACTACTACTACTACTACTACTACTACTACTACTACTACTACTACTACTACTACTACTACTACTACTACTACTACTACTACTACTACTACTACTACTACTACTACTACTACTACTACTACTACTACTACTACTACCACTACTACTTACTACTACTACTACTACTACTACTACTACTACTACTACTACTACTACTACTACTACTACTACTACTACTACTACTACTACTACTACTACTACTACTACTACTACTACTACTACTACTACTACTACTACTACTACTACTACTACTACTACTACTACTACTACTACTACTACTACTACTACTACTACTACTACTACTACTACTACTACTACTACTACTACTACTACCACTACTATTACCACTACTATACTACTACTACTACTACTACTACTACTACTACTACTACTACTACTACTACTACTACTACTACTACTACTACTCTACTACTACTACTACTACTACTACTACTACCACTACTATCACTACTACTACTACTACGACTACTACTACTACTACCACTACTATCACTACTACAACTACCACTACTACTACTACTACTACTACTACTACTGCTACTACTACTACTACTACATTTTTTCATTTTTTTTTGATCCTGAATTAATTTTTTTTTGATCCCTTAGCCGTTGGGGCGGAAACTCGATCCGGGTTTTGGGGTTCGATTTTTTGGAAACGACATCCAGACCTCCAGTGGTGGCGGTTTTCCTTCTTGTTGGAGCGGGTTGCCCCTTTTGGTTTCTCACTGCTGGAAGTATGCATTTTGTTTCTTTAGCAAATGGAGGAACATGAGCTACCAAAAAAGGTACCCTGTTTCCAATGGCCACTGGTAGTTTGGGTGCAGTGCAGCGTCTTGCGCGGGAGGCCGAGCCGTCCTTCATGCCACCAGCAGCGTGCACGTGCCGCGGCAGCACTCGCGTGCTTGTTCGCTTTAGCGAGATTGGCTGCCAGACTTGGCTTACTTTTCGACTGTTTGTCCTCTCCCTTTCAATCCAGCAAAAAGTTACCTTGTTGCAGGGCGTCTCAATCCAGCCTGGCTTGGGTTGGTTCTGAAGATTCAACAAGAGGAATGGTTGCTTTCCTCATCACGAAAGCTAGCTTTAGCTAGCTGAAGTTTCTCCTTGCGTCGGCGTAAGCAAGGTAAAGAGGGAAAAATGACTTTATCAATTGTTTGAGCCAAAAACATTGCAATAATCAATTATTTAGATTTGTCCTTTCCCCTTTTTATTCTGGGGTTTGAATGCTCCCTGGTCCACCCCCCTCTCAAGCGTTGACTTGGACTCATACAACAGTTGCCAGCTTTCGTTCACCCCCTCCTCAAGTTTAGAGACAGATTCGTTCTTCCCCCGAGCGCGAGAGGCGGGTGCGAGTTAAGCATTTACAGCAGGTGCGTGATGGGTCGTTTGCCTGCTTGAAGGGCGAAGGGGTCACTGGATTTCCCCTTCGAAAATGGCAATTGACTGGCGGGTGTTTCTGAACATGCCACTTTTGGTGGTCCAAACTGCCTTTTGTGGAGGATCGAATTCAAGCAAGTTGAGGCTGTCCAAGCGCCAGTGAAATCTCCCCAGCCTGACACTCAAAGTGGGCTGTTTGCATCCAATTTCCATGTGGATTGACCGCTGACCGGTTGCCGCCGAGGGGAATACAAAGAAACAAATCAAGGTTCATTTAGGAGTACATGACCCATCCCTGGGTTTAGTTCCATTTGGGGTATCCAAAAAGCAGCATCTTGGTCGAAAAAAATGCAGAGGCCCGGGTTATGTGGGGACTACCAGTGGCTGGAGGGCGCCAGTGTCGCGTATCCCAGCGAGCGACGAGCAGGGGCCCAAGCCAAAGCGAAGGGCCACCAGGGTATGGGGGGTTTCGCGAAGGAATGGGTTTTGTATGGGTTGGTTTCATGTTAGTTTTCCTCATAGATACCGAACCAAACCAACAAAGCAAAGAAGTAGCCTCAAAACAGAGGTGCTCATGGACGGGAAGATGAAGGACACGCTCGCTTTGACCGGACGCCTTTTGTTTGGCCTCCATTTTTCTGTGGCAACAGGGCTCCTCAGTCTTGGGACTGGGGGACAGTGGCTTTACTCGCCAGTTGGAGGGTTCCCTGGTTTAAGGCCAAGAGGCTCATCCAGTTTTGTTGTGTTGGAAGGTCGGTGGAGTAGCGCCACTATTCCAAGGGCACCAAGCCCAAGTAGTCAAAGCCCAGTTTGAATTAGTCAAGACACCCCAAAAAAGTTAAAGCAGCAAAGTTCGGACCTGCCAGTTGGGCTTCGTGTGAGCGAAAAGGCGCAAATGGGCTTCTCGAAACGAAGCTTGGCCTCAAGGCCTTGAGGCCTCGCCCTGCGAAGGGGATCCATGGGCTCCTTGGACGGGCGAGCCGGACCATTTCGTCAAGGAGTCCACTGGTTAAGCATCTCAGGGGGTCCAGGGAACCCTGGCTAACCCTTGAGCTGTGGGTATGGTATGCCCCATGCCTCTTGAACCATCACTTTTCTCGAAACCCGGCCCAAAAACCAGTGGTTTGGGTGTCTGGAAGCGATCGGATCCCTGGAAATAGGGCAGGTACCACTAGAGTGTCATTTCCATTTGGGCCAATGAAATTGCCCACACCGTCCACTGTACCACCACATAATTGTACTATTAAATGTAATGTACTTGCATTTTGCATATTATAATCACAAACAATTGCACCATTATGCAATGCTTGTGCTGCAAATATAAATCTGTGTTGTTCAATAGGACTACTTTCGTTCATTTGTAATTTACATGTTGTTATTTCTATGACTACCATAAGTTCTTGCTTGCAAAAAACAGTTGCACCAGCCATTGTTTTAGTATACAATTGTATATGTCCCTGTGAAACAAGACCAAGCGAGTCTACGAGGTGAAACCGATTCTGGCATATGAATCTGTCAGCGGCTGACCATCAAAACCATGACATGGCTGAGGATGTCACCTCCCGAGCCTTTCTCACGTGCTCGCAGGGGGCCTTAGCGGGTCTCTAGATGTCAAGCGTGTCGTTTTCAAGGGTACTTTTTTGAGGGGGGATTCAAAGCAAAGCCAAAATTCGTACAATAGGACTGCACATAATATGTTGTTTGAGACCACTCTATGGGAGGAAACACCAGCTTGCCGTGATGTGGGGATCCTTATCTCAGGTTTCGGAATTGTTGCAAAGTATGCAGTTCTTTTGGGGCTAAGTTTACATTTCCCTGTTTCCATCGCAGACACCTCCCCAAATAGGGTGCGACAGTTGGTTTGGGAACACCCTTGTGGCTAAGGCAAGCAAAAGGAACATGTTCAACGCGTTGGGGGCCCGATCCTATTGGGCATTTGTTTGCCGCGCTATAGATCATGTTAGGCCTCACTTACATATTCGAACTATTTGGTAGCTATACCCTGCACGCCCAAACCCTTAAGCAATAGCAGGTCAGTAGAAAAGCCCGAGGATTCTCAACAATCCGGAGGTTATCCAAATCAGAGGTTTGCCAAACTGCGGGTTAAATATGGGTTTGGCATGGGTTTGGCGCCACAACAACGTTTCTTTTTGTGTTTTCCTTTTTTTTTGTTTTCTCCCGGTCAAACCTGAGGTATGTTAATTTGCGGGCAAATCTCGGTATTCCCTGTAGCACTTACTGTTTTTAGAGGGTTTGAAGTGAGGGTAGCTACACGTCAACCAACACCTGTCTCACTCATCACCCTTACAAGCTACTTTGGTTGAATATCCAAGCAGGCCACCTTCTTTGGGCCTGAGACTTGGGGGGGTTGGGCCACTTCCTCACCCGCAGGGGCTGTGGAGCCAAGCCAAGGACCTTGGTGTCTTTCTCGGTTCGACCCAATGTATTAAATTGCAAAGTGTCGTTTGCTTTATCAAGAGGAAGCAAACAGAAAATCCCGAAGAAAAATGGGCCATTTTTTCCCTTGTCACTTTCTTGCCGACCTTGTCTGCACGGCTTTTGATTCGAAGGCTCTTGAAATTCGCCGGCGACCGAGGTCCGGGTACAAGCCCGCGGGTGCGGCCTTGAGCCTCGAGGGCACCGTGGAGCTCAGGAGCGACCAGTGAGCGACCGGTGCTGGTGCGATAGCTAGGGAAGGTGGTGGAATGAACCGGTTTTGGGATTCCCTTGAAAAAAGGGAGATCACCAGTTGGATGTTTTTTTGTTTTTCTTGGGTCGTTCTCCAATTCTCATGAGCACCAGCAAGCTAAAAAGTTGGAAGCACATCAAAAGGACAACGTTGCCATGTTTGGGGCGTCCCCTTAACCAGTTGGGTTTGGGTGTGTCGTTTTTTGAAGGTACCCCTGGTTTTTTGGTGGCTTCAGAGTGAAACCAGAAGCACATCATTGCCATTTGTTGGGGTCCACTAAAAAAGGATTTCTGGGGGTTGAAAAAAAAAGAAGCAGAAACACGACTGATCTAAACTCTACTGATCTACCCCAGTTTTGAAGTTAGTGACCCTAAAAAAGACACACCCAAAAAAGTAGAATGTTTTTTGTGGGTACCAGACTGAATGTGCTTATCCCTGTACCATGAAACTAGAAGTAAAGGGTCACTGTCCAAGCCCAAAGGCGGTTGCGGCATGAAGGGTTCTTTGTGGTGATGGCCAGTAGTTGGAACTCCAACATGAAGGGACCCGCCTTTGGTTTCCCCTCCAAACCAAACAAAACGGGAGGTTGCCCAAAAAAGACCAGCGTCTGTGAGGAACGATACCAAACTACCATTAGGAAACACAGTTACTTACCAACATGATTTCTTCCTGGTTTGATAGAGTGACTATATTTGGAGACCCAATAATTGGAACGTGAGAAATTACATTGTTTGCGCTTTTTCCTTCTCTATGTTTCTTTCACTCTCTCTCTCTCTCTCTTTCCATCTCCCTTTCTCTTATGGGGTTTCTCTCGCTTTTGGAGTTCTCTCTGTTTGCTTTCCCTGCTCTTGAGCGGATTTCCGTCTAGCTCCAAGCAACGTAGCACTTGGCAAGCTTCCTTGTTGGATTCATGAAATCTGATGTTCGGTGCTCGTCTGGCGCTCGCCCGTTTCAGGTGTGGCCCGGTCATCGACCGGGAGAATGAGCCGGAGGTGGAGTGGAAGGTGGCTTTTACAGGGGCCCCGAACCCAGAAAAGGCGCACTCCGGGGGTGGAACGAGCGAAAGGACGGTGTTCGGGGCTTTTCAAGGTCAGAAACGATTTTTGGTGCTTTAACCCACCACTTGACCAAGACTTGGGTGACTTTGAGAATGGGTGAAAGAACTGGGCCGGATGCGAATGTTTGAGTTTCCCCTTTGAACACATCGATCTGCGGATTTTTTCCCCGGCGATCCGTGCGCTGCTGAGGCCCGGGCCGGTCTGATTTGCGCGCCAGAAGGCATGGCAGTCTATGACACGGCCTGGCCGGCAACTTTGGGCCTTTGGCACCAGTGCCTCAAAATCGCCTTAGGGGGGGGTCTCATTTAGGAACGGCTCCATTTCGGATGGCAACGCCTTCTTTTGGTTTGAGAAACACCAGCTTTCAATGCTGAAAGATTGGGCAAGGTACAAGAGATGCGCAGGGGCAGAGATGTGTTTTTGTGTCAGTTGGCAGCTTCCTACCCAACGTCTGCCCCAACGGCAAAATCGGAGCCCCTTTGGGTTGAAAACACAAAACGGTCAGCCACACAAAGGGTTCCCTTGTGCTGCGGGTGACTGGGCAACTGGGCGCCTCTGGTTTGTGGCTGTTTGCGTCTTTTGAGTTGCTCCTGTTTGAGGTACGATTCGGGCGCCAACCGATTCGTACAGGAACAGCTACCTAGAACATCCCCATTCGTGCGGGAGTGGTTCCTATAGTGAACCCCTGAAAGTGATCAGCTGCCTTTTCCCCGTGAGCATGCCACCGTTGCCTCCTGTCCTAACCTTCCACCCCCCCCCGCATGTATTTTGAATCAGCCTTTGTTGATGTTGTTGTTTTTTGTGTGTGTTTTTTTTGGGGGGAGGGGGGCATTTTTTGTTCTTCTTCTTTTCTTTTCCGGTGCCTCAAAGAAGTGCCAATGCGGGTGTCGTTGTGAACTCCCTGTCCTGAGTTGGAAAGGGGAGCCGTTTGGTGGCATAGCTTCGTGTGCTTGGAGGTTACCTCGGCACATGCCAACCTGGAATTTGAAAAGGTCAATCGGCCCAACCTTTTCAACTCAAAATGCGCGTAGCAATATCCGGGCGTTTTTTGTTTGCTAAACCACAATTATTTTAACACGTTATGACTTCAGCCAGCACCTCCTCTGTTTTTTTGAAACTTGGGATTTTGGACATGGGACAAGAATCAGTTATTCGGGGTGGGGTGCCGTTTTCAGGACTTCAAAAGTGGGTGGAAGCCTCGGAGTAGGGTCACATGCCAGGTAGTGCTTCTGGGGTCCATCACCCTGACGTGCGGGCCACAGAGCTCTGTTCCTTTTGGTCAACACGGCAGAGAAGGTGACCCATTTTGGTGGGCTTTGCTCTTTCAACAACCCATCAATTGTTCTTGCTGAGCTTCCACGCATCGAGGGATCTTCCGCACTCACGCCTCCGTTTTGAGGAGTTGTCCGATCAAGCATGTTGGGAAATAAGGGACGAACCATTCGCGTTCCAAGAAACACCAAAAACAATTAAATGCTTTCTACCTGTCCTGTCTATCATTGGATTGTCCAGCTTCACCTAAGGAACCGCTAAGTAGCTGGGAAGCTGGTTTGCCACATTTTGCCACTTACTCATCGCCAGGGAGCTAGCATTTGTGGGTTGTTGCTGCCGCTCTTTAGTAAGAGGTAGCCAGGTAGCCAACGAGTACCTAAATTGATTGGTTGATAGTTGGGTTATCTAGTAGCAGATAGTCAAGGAGCAAGCTGTGACTTACTCACACGTTTCGATGGATGCAACAAGCAGCAGCAGCCGCACACTTGGTGTGAGAGAGTGCAAGATTGGAGTCTCTCGGTCATGGAAACAGATTTGGACCCCGACAAAGAGTTGGTGTGCGAGAGAAAACAGAAACTGCGGGGGGAGGTCCTTTATCTTGGGACCGGCCCATTTGGCAAAGGCTGATGTATCCATGATATACGAACCCATCGAAATCTTTTTTGGCCCCCTTGAGTGGAAAACGGTTGACCCTCTATTTGTGACACCCATGGTGCGTAGCTACAGCAAGAAGCCAGGATTTATACCAGTGGGGTTACATGAGACGGTGTCAACGATATTAATGAACGTGCCCTGTTCAAATATCCCCTTACAATTTGCATAGAAGACAATGGGCAACTTACAAGAAGCATTGCCCCTCCACGATACCCCTGCAAAAATACTAGCACCCGGAAAACAATGGGGACCAGCTCAAATCAAATGCATAATTGTGGCTAATGAGATATCTGGCAAATATCTAGCTTTTTCCTACACTTTGTTTGCGACCTCACCCGCGGTGACTTTGTGTTGCAAGTTTGTGAATTACAAGGTTTGGCCCAGATTTCGGTGTTTCTCGAACATATTTCAGTTGTACCAAAATGGATGGTGTTATGCTGGTTTCGCTTTGAAACAACCCCCCTTAAAGCGAGACGCCCCACATATGTTCCATGGTCAGAGGGTTCTTTTGCCTAGGGTGATAGGGATGGTGATGGACCCCTGGGGATGTTTGACAAGCATGATGAGAATACAAGGAGTTTTGAAAATGGCATGTGAGGAAAGTAGAGACCCTGAAAAGGTGCAAACGGTCCCAAACGCGGTTTTGGCTGCTGGACTATTCCTTGTGTTTCCATGGCACCGAGGATGGCGCTTCCGGACGCTTTGAATAAGGAGCCGCGAGCATGTCCAATGTGGGTGACTCGGTTGGTGAGCAAAAAAGTCGTCATGCTCCCCGGTCCCCAGCCATAGCCTTGGACTCCTGGAGGTGAGCTTGGAGGTGACATATCCCGCAAGTGTAAGGGGGAGAAATTGTTGGGAATGTTTTTTGCTTACCTGGTGCGACACAAACCAAATCTTTTGGCTTGTCTCCCGGATCACCTATTTAGGTCCGAAGAAATGTATGTCCTTTCCCCAGTACATGTTCCCTTTGGATACTGGAGGGCTGCCCACCATTTCCGCGGGGATTTTTTTGGGGATGTAGCATAGATTTGCATGAACAGGCCCGAAAGGGTCTTTCTTTTCTTGTGCCACTAAGGTTGGTCCCTCAACTCATGCAGGGGGTGGTATCGTGCTGGGAAGATGTGTGGGTTTCCCCCTGAAGTGTAGAATTCCTCGAATGCCAGACATCTTCATTACCCAGAAGATGTGCGTTCACTTTTTCGATCCAGTTTCCATTTTTTTTCGGAAATACAAGACAACTGGAATTGCGGACCTCCACCCCCTCAAATCAAAGGATATTGGACCTCCCCCCCCCCCCCGGCAACCTCCCCGTGGAAATCCTAACTGGTTTCGCCATATATCTCTGCGCGGTTGCAGCAGTTGCATGTTTGCGTGTTGTGTTTCTCGCATGATTTGCTTGTTGCTCCTTCTGTGAAAAATGGGAACCACCCAACAAACTTTGCTGACCTGCTGCAAACAGCAGGTTGTTGCTATAGGTCGGCAAAGCATGATTCTAGGCGCGGCTGCGAGTCATGTTATTCTCCAGGACTCGCTTTGCACGCAGTACAAGGACCGCTTTGTGGGGGATGTCGGCCTTGCACTGGCCAGGGCCTGAACAATGACTCCATCCGAATCCTTAAGGTTTTGTGAGTGGGTCAACACTGTTTGTGGAGTCCTCCAAACCGGGCTTCAAGAGTAGCAGAGGTTCTCCGCTGGAAGGTCTGGAATTAGCATTGCGAGGAAGTGTGACCGGTGCCACGTATAGCTTTGGAAGTAAACGAGGCTGCAATTGTTTCGCCGTGTGTCGCCTGCTGCTTTCAAAGAGCCGTTACTTTTGGAAGACTTGGGTGCCTGTTTGAGGGTCTCCCCTTTTTGGGATTTGAAGGGAAACCAAAGGGAGCCACAGAAATTGTGAGGTGCGCCTTATATGAGGGACCCCCGAAACAGGAACTGAAAGGGCTCCCTTCTTGCACGGATACGAGCCTCTCAAGACTTGATGGAAGCTAGCCTCGAGAACGGGTCCATTTCTTTTAGCTTTGATAAGTTCGTCCCCCTCAGCGGGGCTTCCCTGGAATTTTCCACGGGCTTCTCCGAATTTCCACAGACGCATCCGCGGGAACCTCGGCTGTATGGAGGACCCAGATTTTCAAAACGGACACATAGCAATAGACCCAAACGCGGAGTCCCTTCGGACATCGAGGTGGGACTACCTGCTGGTACTGAATGTTGTGAAAGTAGCCCCACGAAAGCTATGGTGGCTTCAAACTTGGTGTCCCTCTACCCCGGGAAAGGGCCATCGACAGAGAACACACCCTGATTTATCTCAGTCTAAGGATCAAGGGAATTGCAGACATGGCGATCTCGCCTGGGGGGTAAAACGAGCTCACCCAGAATAAAAAAGGGACTCGTTGATTGAAGTAAACAAGATCGGGCAAATATATACAGACGTGCTTCAAGGGGGGCAACCCACAAAATGGCCTTATTTGTCTTCCCTTGAAACATCCCTTGGAAACACCGTCAAGATTGGGGGCTAAAAGGCTTTTGAAACAAAGACCGATACATGAACATCCTTTGACTAGCTGGGGGATGGAGGCCGGAGGCCTGGGTGGAATCTACATCAGCACGGAGCATCCATTCAGTAGGACCCTTGTAATTAATCCCAGCAACCACCGCCGGCCAGAACGAACTTGAGTGGTTTTCCGCCTCCGATATTTCATGGTGTTTCACGGTCTTTCACGGCAAAGAAAAGGCGTTCACGCCCATTTCACGGCATGTTTCGCGCTTTTCCTTTGTCGATTTCCCAGTGCTGAGAAAATGATAAGTCCATGAGTCGAAGCCTTCAGCATGAAACGGCTTCACCATGTCTGGCATAGTTTCCTCGAGGCTTTGGAAGGCGCACGTTTCAGCCACATGCACTACACAGCCATGTGGCCACGAACACGGCCCAAAACGATGTGGGCAATCAAAAGCGTCCAGCTTGCAAACAAAGAACATTGCTCACAAGAAACGGCCGCTGCCTAAAGGCCTTTGTCTTTAAGGCCCCCAAACCCCAGGGTCAAAACTTGCCAGTTCCCAGCCAGACCCGACTTTTAGATGTTTGGCGTGAGGGATTCGTGAGGTCCCACTGGATGTGTCTGGCGTACCGGGGTTTCTGGAATACCAGCGTTCCCGGAATTATGACATCTATGGAGTCTGGGGATATTTTTACTAGAACTGTGTGTGTGTGTTTAAATTTTAGAACGCTGTTGGTCGTTGTCATGAATTCTGGGACTAGTGATTCCGGGGTTTAAATGCGTGCTACATAGACAACCCAGCCTTAAACTGGCTTGGATTTTCTCTTTCCCTTACCACCCCAACAGGAGGTGGCATCAAAACAACGAGCCACACCCATAGATCAAGGAAGCACGTGTCTACTTTGTCTTTTACTTTTTTTTGGCTTGAAAAGGATCCAACGAGACGCCGGGTTGGGATCACCTGTTTTACCACCCACATGGGTCTGTCTTTGTCTCAAAAACGGTGGTGTTCCCCTCGCTGTCCCTTAAAAACCGCAAAAAGGTACCACACACACACACCAAAAAAAAGAAAAGAAAACACAATCCTATGTAAGGGTTGGCTTCCCGGAATGGCTTCCCTCAGTCCCAAAAGGGGTCCCTCAAGGAAGAGAGAGGAAAAAACACACGTGGAGGTGAACGAATTCTCGTTTCCCTTGAGGCTACGAACGAACCACTTGCAACAAAGACCGCCTGAGGTCATGGCCTTGTCCTCGGCGGGGCAGGTGCCCTTAACTGCCAGCTCTGCCGGGCAGCCCGGGGTCCTTGGGGGGTGAGGTGACAACCACAGCGGTTTGGGCCGCAAGAAAAAGCGCATGTGTGTGGCTCAAAAATTAAGACCCAGAGTTGCGCAGGTGTTGGTCTACTTTTCCATTTACCAGGGTTCCATTTTGGGCCCCTATTGTTGACCCACAGCCACATGTGTTTGTTGATTAGGGTAGAACAAATATGGGCCGAATCTGAACATATGTTTTGGGTGTAGCCCGTGGGGCCAATCAAATGCCAACGCAGGCGGAGACTCGTTTGCAAAGACTCAAAGCGGCAATTCGCAAGGGGCCAATGGGGGTTGATGCCCTTTGTTGGTTGTTGCAAGTTGTTTCTTGGAAGAAAAACCTATTCTGAGTGTCCATTTTTCAGAGATACGGCTGAGAAAACATGGTAAAAAGCAAGTGTGGTGCAAAACAGTTAACGGAATCCCAAAAGGAGGAAGTTCGATCCCAGGAAAAAATAATCAACATGAGAGTGAGGCGCTCTTGTTGGGGGTTGACCCTTTCCATTTTGGAAAGTAGTCAATCTGCAGGCCATGTGTGCACTTGCATTGTTTTTGCGGGGTGTTTTTGTCCAATTGGCAATAGCAAGATGTCCAAGCCACATCCGGGATCTTCAGGGTGCGTTGACATTCCGAGGGATGTTTTTGGGGGAGTGAGAAGCACCCATATTACCTCAAAAGCCGGCTGCTTCCATGTGCGCGGCGTTTGTCATTCTTGCCTGTTAGCTTGTCAGTTGTGATGGGCACGTTGGCTTCACGCCTTGAGCAAAGTGGGAGAATGGGTTGTTCGCAGACCACATTTGGTGGAACTTTCAGGCTGCTTGAAATGGCCCAAATGGCCTTGGCTCGTCCAGTGTCTTATTCAGATTCAGAGCCGACTAGCAACGGAAGCCGTGGGAAGTTATCTTTAGTGGCCTGGAATGTTTGCAAATAGTGACTATTGGGCTGCAATGGCTCTGAATCAGTATATGGCAGCTGAGGGCCTCTGTTATGATTCTTTGGGACAGCCAGGGAAGGCTTAAGGGTCTCGGTGCCTGATGGGGCCCTGAAAATTCCCCAAAAGGTTCTCCGGCTCGTTCAGTTATTCCCTGGAATGATTGACGCATTATTACAGGGAGCTGAGCAAGTGGACGCATGAATGTCCCATGATGATGAGGCTAGTTGGTTTAGAAGTAGCCCACTACCCAATTCTAGCTGTTTAGGGCTTACTCTGGATCCATAAACGTGACATCTACAGATTGGCTTCGAAATACAATGGTTTAAAGGAAACTCCCTCCTGTTCGATCCCGTAGCTGTTTACGCCCACTCGCAGGTGCTGAATGTGGAAGTGAGCGTTTGCAGCGGCTTGGGCGTCCGCTTGCGGCGGCTGTCGAGCCTCAACACCACGGTGAGCTTCGCAGTCAAGGCGTGGAAGTCGGGCTCAACATCGTGTGGCGACAGGTGAGCTGCTGTGTGATACAACTGTGGCTCAGTGGGTCCTTGAAAGTGGTTGCATGTTGAGAGGTTCTCGATTTTTCGTCTGGAGAAGGGTTCCCTTTGAACCGCGATGCAGCGAAAGGGGTAACCCTTACTCCCGGACAGATCAACGTGAAACCAAAGGACATCATTTGTGTGAAGGCAAGCTACCTCTTTTTGAGGAAACGACCTTGTTCGTTTCCCTGGCGACTTTTTTTCGTGAGATGGGCCGTTGTCAATCGGGAGCAGAACCAGGACTTGGGTGCAAGCACACCGAGCGTGGTTTAGCCTCATGGCGAGCTCGCCAAGATAAAGGCCGATTGGAGGAAGAGGAAGACGGTCACCCTCGACGAAACCGCCATCAGGGTCGACCATGGCCGGCTTTTTCGAGGCTCTCTTGGAGGCGAATACCCCTGCGAGAGCATCATTGAATCATAGGTGCGCGCTGGGGCGGTGGCTGAGGTGAACGCGGGCGTTCTCTTGGGGTGGGCTTGCTTGTGGCCTGTTGGTTTCCCTTTCGGGGCTCCGACTTTTGCTTGGCCACCGCGCCAAGCGCGGTCTTCGGCTGGCTCCATCCGCAGTGGACCCTAATGCGAGTTTCCATTTCACTAAACTGCACATGGGGGATTTTGTTCACCACTGACCCCCAATACCCCCAACATTTTTGAACTAATGCCCTTTGAATCGAAGTTCTTGATTTTTCTGAGACATTTGGGTCATTTTTGGGGCGTCCCCTTTTCGGGGTCGGTTTGCAATCGCTGGTGTGGGTTTGGTTTCTGATTTGCCGAATGGCACAGGTGGAGAACGACCTGCAGGCGCTCATGTTGCAGGCCGCCGTCACCGAAGCCGCCGCCAGCCGGGAGCCTCGGAAACGCGCTGCGCGCGGGGAAAGATGCGCGCGGTTGGTAGGGAAAGATGCAGAAGGGGTGCCTCATGCTCGAAACGACATTTATTTATGAAGGTAAACATGCGATCTTTTCAGGTTGACTGATGGACTAGAATCCGAGCATATGGTTTTTTGCATGCTCAAAGTTGGGCCAAGAACCACCCGGCCTTCTTCTAGTTGGCAAATAAAATTGAGAAGAAAAAGCAGTGCCGTGGAAAAAGTCAGGGTTGACATCCTATCCGGGTGGGTATTTGGAGTAGGGGTTCGAAGGCTCGAACACTTTGTTGCTGGGAGGGTAAGCATTGGGATTCCTGGGTTGACCGTGGCATTGAGTGGTTGAAGTGGGGCCACGCTGTTTCTGGGGGCTGAAGTCGGAAATGGTTGGCTGTTTCCGTTTGACCTACCATGGGCGGGTGACTTTGGTAGAATGAGGCAGCAGAAAAGGACTTCTTTGGTCTTTTTTGGGCTTCCCTACCGTAGGTCCAATTTTTGGGAAGCCTAGTTTGGATACCTGGGAAGGCGCGGAAGGCTTGAAACCCAACTGTAACATGGCCAACACACACCTCATGTTGACCTTGGATTCATCAAAAGAAGGACCCTACTTGTCAAAGGAAGCCCCTAAATAGTGTGTTTACAGGTTTCCCATTGAAATGATCACCACCCACAACAGGAGGTTTAACGTGTCATCCTGCGAAACTGGAGCAGGAGTTTTGACCACGTGGGAATTTGCAACTTAAAGCTCGAACACCCCGCCTTGCTTGACCTGATCGGTATGGGTCAAATGCTGGTCCATGTTTGGTCGAGGTTGCAAAAAGGACCTTGATCCCCCCCAATTTCCCTGGAAAGCCACGCAAAATGCTGCTTCGGTTGATTTGCCCGCTTTGGGCAACAGGGATGGCAAGTGTCCGAGATGTGAGCCACCAGGGCCAAGGGCGTCAAGATTACTGCGCACAGGTCTCAAAACGGGGTCTGCCTGGGATAGCATAGGCAGCTTCGGACGCCAGAGTGGTTTTTTGTACGCGTGCCGGCGACTGGCAATTGATTGGTTGATATTGGTTGCTTTGCCCAGAGAGGGCGACCTGGCTTGCATCGAGCTACAAAGATATTATTTGTCTGGCGCGGCAATTTTGGTTCAACATCATGCAAGATTTGAACAACGCCGAGTTTTTGCAGTAGCTGAAGGACTGGCGCAGGGCGCTGTTTAGCATGAAGCTGCTTCACAAGTTGCTTCACGCTTCACCATGCCCATAGTTTTTGCCATCAGAGGCACTGCAAGATAGTTTCAGTAGTACCTTTTAAAGATGACCAGGGCGTTTTGTGGGCCAGGGATGAACATTTGGACCTCTTCACACAAAATCCTGAAGATTGTGGGCAACCCGTTTTGCAAGAAATTTGGAGGTTTGGGTTTCAATTGTCAGGCTCATGTCTTAGCTTTGAACCAGTAGGGTTTATCTGCTTTGCGGACAGGGGCTCGTCCTTGAGCTGAAAGGCTTGTGTTCGCGAAAAGTTGTTGACATGAGCATTTCAGCGCCCATCTTGGTGGCGTTCAAAGCGTGTCACGTTTTCGCGTTGCCTGCGCGGACTCGAAACGCGCCAACGTTAAGGGAGGCAGTTGACCCCCAGGGTAAAACGGGAGTGCCATGTCCAAAGCAATGGTGTGTCCAGCCAGAAGCTTTGTGTTGAGTCATGCCAGACCTCCAATGGGCCCCGTTTCTTGCTGGTTTGCTGCCGGGATCAGGACATGACCTGGAACTGAACCATCCCTTGTGGTTTCCTTTCAAAGGATGATTCCAACCTCGTGTGCTCATCTTTGCGGCTTTATGCGGAAGCGGGTTCCTTTGAAAAAAACAACTACCCAATTAGGTCCCTCTTGCTTGGGACGTGGACTCACATGTTCCAGAAAGCGAGTCTGATTCTCAAAATGACTCGCAGGAAGCCACCAGTTCGCTTAGGCGTGAGGATGCCATTAAGACGACCCATGGCTGCCCCGTGTATTCCTCCCTATCCGCACCCAAAAGTCTCAGGCGCAGTCTTTGTCCGGGTCTTCACCGTGTCCTTGGCCTCCTCCACCGGCATCCAAACCTCAGGCGGGATGGTTCTTCACCCGGGCCTCAAAACGGGACCGCCCGTGTTCACTATATAAAAGGGAGACTTAAAGGAAACCAACCATCCTTAGGGGTCGCCCATATCGAGCAACCTGCTTCCAGGTCCTATGCTGGGTCTCAGGAACTAGGTTGGAATTGTTGCAGGTCGAAGGTTGACCAAGTATGACACAGACTCAGAAATCTTGTTTTTGGTGTAGCTTGGGGCTGGGCCAAGTTGGGCAAGTGAGGTTAACAAATTCAAGAGCACGAGCGGGAGAAGTTCTTGTCTGTTTCAGGTTCCCATTTCTGGACAAGGTCCCAAAAGGTTGAGGAAGACAAGAGAATGAAACAAAGGTTTTGACAGATAGCTCGACCTTTTGTCCCCAAAAGGGGTACAGCTGCTTCCCATGGCCACTGCCACGTTGCCGCGAGGTATTTAAAATGGTCAGACTTTCCCAGTGGCTTTTGAAGCGGTGAGTTTCGTTCACACGGAATCCGCTTACAGAGCTATGGAGCGTGTCATCCCTTCAGTTCCTTCAGTTCCTTCAGCCACTGGGGGCGCAGATTCGGGTGAGCCTTCAGCCCCTTCAAAGGGAAGCTCAAAGGGCCCTACTCTAAATACCTGTGTTCGTCTTGCTTGAAGAGGAGGCCAAGTTTTCCATGCTAAATACCTCTTGTCTTTGGTCGGAGGTGGACATCATAGCAGAACAACTGGGTACCCCATGGGAAGCCATGAATAAACCCGCTGGTTGATTACTAGGTGACCGCAACCCCTGTTCAAAGAAGATCCTTGGGAACTTCGCGTCTCGACTGCCAGACATCGAGACGTCTAGAATGACTCGGGACATTTTGTACCTCATCGACAAGCCCGGCGCTCGAAATGAGGTCGCCCACACCTCCAGTGCCCCTTTTGCCCCTGCTTTGTTGAGAAGGGGTTCTTTTGGGAGTCGATTCGCTCACTTGCCCAGCGGATTCTACTTTTTGCGGGGAGGGTTTCCCTTCAAAACAAGAGCTTCCCACGGAAATGAACTGAGGTCTTAGCTTAAAACTTGAAACCATTGCTTTCGGGAGCCAAGTCGCCTTTGGGGGGGCAGGGACCAGAGGCCAAATCACAGGTTTGCGGCTGAAAAGCGCCGAACAGGTTTTGGTGAACTGCGAAAGGGGATTTGGAGAAGCGGAGCAAAGGTCCTTCAAAAGGAGCACCTCAGGCTGACTGGCAAAGTAAAGCAGCCCATCCCAGAAAAGAGCATGTGCTGTCATTCCCAAATTTACCTGTACGAACTTTCTGGGGGTCTAAGTCTGACCCTAGTTATGGAAGCTATCTTGACCAAGCCATGCGCTTTTGGGGCTGAGGCCATCGGTGATACTTCGCAGTTGCGTCAACCCACGTGGGGTTGCCTCAAACTTGGGAGCCTCCCACTGGCAGTGCCCTTGAGTTCACTGTTCACAGACCCCAAAACGGAGACCCGCAAAATAAGACACATATTATATTGCGGGGTCAGTTGGAGAGTGATTAATAAAGGGCCCCCCCCCCTCAAACGAATTGGGGGGTCAATAGCGAGAACCCCCAAAAACAAAATGGGGGTCAGACTGGGACCTGCCTGAGTAGTTTTCCAGTAAGTATTGTTTAGAATTGGTTTAGTATTGGTTTAGTATTCCTTTGAGCTGGCTCACTACGGTTTAGAATTTGTTTAGTATTAGTTCAGTATTCTTTTCAGTTGACTCACTACAGTTTAGAATTGGTTTAGTATTGGTTCTTCTTCTTGGCAGGCTGCCCTGGCCATTTTTTCCACAATTCCCTACCCTTAAACAAACTGCATTATTGCTTTCCTGGGGGTTCCGTGTGCCACCCCCTTGAACATGTGTCAGGGTGCATCTTCTAGTAAAGGGATTGATAAGGAATTTGGTGGTTTGGGACAGGAAGCAATCCAGAGATTCTGGACATTTCTGGCTTTATCTGAGAACAGCAGGGCTTTCTTCTTGGCAGGCTGCCCTGGCCATTTTTTGCTTCACAATTCCCTACCCTTAAACAAACTGCATTATTGCCTTCCTGGGGGTTCCGTGTGCCACCCCCTTGAAAATTTGTCAGGGTGCATCTTCTAGTAAAGGGATTGATAAGGAATTTGGTGGTTTGGGACAGGAAGCAATCCAGAAATTCTGGACATTTCTGGCTGGACTGAGACGTTTCAACCCTCAAAAATAGTCCGTTCTTGGCAGGGGACCTATTTTCGGGATTTCGGGCAGATGTTTTTTCTGTAATACCTACCCTTTTTGCTTTTCAGGAGAGTGAATGATTTTGAGATTATTTTTCTGTATTCACTCCCGTTTTATTAATCGCTATCTAACATAGCATATTATATTTATATTACAATATATATATATATATATTAGATATGGTAAGATGAGCAACCTGCTTCTATATCTTAACTGCGTTTTGGTTCGACTCCCGGTTTGCCGCGAAAGAATGGCGATTTTTGTGTTCAGGCGCTTGTCGTTGGATCTCTGTGAGCTTGAGGCCTGACGGCACGCAGGTTCCAGTAGCAGGGGCCTCAGATATTTTCCCAGCTCACCTGAGCGCGCTCCCATGAAGGACCTGAAGGAACTTGCTTTGGGGGGGGGGCGGGCACTGGGGGCGGGGACTGGGGGCGGGGACTGGGGGCGGGGACTGGGGGCGGGGACTGGGGGCGAGTGTGGGGGGGGGGGGGGTTGGGCCGGGTGTTTTCCGAAAATGGGTCCGAAGACCCCCAAAGACAGTTGGTATCCTTGTGGCCCTCCTGCAAGCATCAACCGAAGCAGGGTTCACAATAGGTGCCACCCTTGGTTTTTGCAAGGTGGACTGCAGCCAAGCAACCGATCCGCCATAAGATAGATCCTGGCAAGCTTCACAGCAACTCTGTGCGCTTGTGGGCGACCTCAAAGGCCAAATCTATGAACCTTTGGTTGGTTTTAAAGGCAAACCAAAAGGAAACCGTTGCTGTTTGGGGTGTCAGGTCATTTTGAGACAACCCCACATGAACCTGTGGCTTGGGGTTGTTGGATGACTAGTTTTTCATAAGCTACGAATAGTGGTTGATCTAATACGCAAGGGGTTGGTTCATACATTCAGCCTTTAACAACCGCCCAACATGTGTCAGCCGTGCTTGGATTCTTGGGCTGGATCTCCAAGAAAGGAATGAGATGTTCATGAAACCAAAAGGGGCCACCTTGGCATCAGAATGAGTGTGTCCATGTTGATGGATTGCATCCAACTTCACAAAGAAGGAGCAGACGATGTGACAGGTCACTCCCAGCAACTTCCTGTGAACTGGACAACAGGTACCAACTGCGGGGATGTGGCCAAACGGCTTACTGAGGTCAGGGACAACAGCGCGGAGCCAAGTTGCCGAATCAGATTTGAGGCCAAGGATAACAATGAGATTGAAACCTGACGAGAAGGCAATGCGTGGGTCCTCCTGCAATATTTACATGGTCCCCACTCCCCAAGCAACGCATAGGGAGGTGGGTCCATATCCTTTGAGGGGAATACATGTCCCGAGTGTTTCCTCGGTGGGTAAATTGGCTGGCATGTGTTGGTGAGCTGGCGCTCATGGTTTCCATTTACGGATTGGACTTTTGCACGAAATTTGGTGACTTGCCTAAAACAAGATGGCCGGTACAAGTCCCTGTGGGGGATCTCTTTCTTTGCTTGGTAAAATAGTGTACTTGTGCAGTTATTTGGGGATTCATCACTTTTGGAGGGAACACCCCTACTAATAAAAAGGGATTTATTAATTCGGGGTCAACATATATGCATGCGAGCGTAGCTTTCAAAGGCTAGAAGTGTAGCCTGTTCATTTTACCCCACCAGCCTTGTGCAAAATCATCCTCTTGGCAAAATATACTTTAGAGCCTCCGGCTCAGTCCGCCGACATTGTCCTCTCCCTTTTCTCCTTCTTCCTCTCTCCCTTGTCTCCCTGGTGTGTTCTGTCGTCCTCTCTCCCTCCCTCCGCTCCCCATCCTCCCCATCCCCCCAAGCCACTCTCTCCCCAATCTCCCTCTCTCGTATGTATGTATGTATGTATGTATGTATGTATGTATGTATGTATGTATGTATGTATGTATGTATGTATGTATGTATGTATGTATGTATGTATGTATGTATGTATGTATGTATGTATGTATGTATGTATGTATGTATGTATGTATGTATGTATGTATGTATGTATGTATGTATGTATGTATGTATGTATGTATGTATGTATGTATGTATGTATGTATGTATGTATGTATGTATGTATGTATGTATGTATGTATGTTGTATGTATGTATGTATGTATGTATGTATGTATGTATGTATGTATGTATGTATGTATGTATGTATGTATGTATGTATGTATGTATGTATGTATGTATGTATGTATGTATGTATGTATGTATGTATGTATGTATGTATGTATGTAATGTAAGTATGTATGTAATGTATGTATGTATGTATGTATGTATGTATGTATGTATGTATGTATGTATGTATGTAGGTAGGTAGGTAGGTATGTATGTATGTATGTATGTATGTATGTATGTATGTATGTATGTATGTATGTATGTATGTATGTATGTATGTATGTATGTATGTATGTATGTATGTATGCATGTATGTATGTATGTATGTATGTATGTATGTATGTATGTATGTATGTATGTATGTATGTATGTATGTATGTATGTATGTATGTATGTATGTATGTATGTATGTATGTATGTATGTATGTATGTATGTATGTATGTATGCAAATGTATGTATGTATGTATGTATGTATGTAATGTATGTAATGTAATGTAATGTATGTATGTATGTATGTATGTAATGTATGTATGTATGTATGTATGTATGTATGTATGTATGTATGTATGTATGTATGTATGTATGTAGGTAGGTAGGTGTATGTATGTATGTATGTATGTATGTATGTATGTATGTATGTATGTATGTATGTATGTATGTATGTATGTATGTATGTATGTATGTAATGTATGTAATGTAATTAATGTAATGTAATGTAATGTAATGTAATGTAATGTAATGTAATGTATGTATGTATGTATGTATGTATGTATGTATGTATGTATGTATGTATGTATGTAGGTAGGTAGGTAGGTATGTATGCATGCCTGCATGAATGTATGTATGTAATGCATGTATGCATGTATGCAATGTAATGTAATGTAATGTAATGTAATGTATGTAATGTATGTATGTATGTATGTATGTATGTATGTAATGTAATGTAATGTAATGTAATGTAATGTAAAGTAATGTAATGTAATGTAATGTATGTATGTATGTATGTAATGTGATGTAATTTAAAGTAATGTAATGTGATGTTGTGTAATGTAATGTATGTATGTATGTCTGTATGTCTGTCTGTATGTATGTCTGTATGTATGTATGTATGTATCCTTGCACTTCCCCTTTGCTCCCCAGTATTTCCCGCAAAAAACACTGTTTTTCCAGCGTTTTCGCAAAGATGATGTCCAAAAACACAGAGTTTTTCCAGATTTTCGGCAAAAGGATGCAGGAAGCCCAAGCCAGCAAAAAAGCCGGCAGGGGGAATCGAGCCTGGGACCCCTGTTTTGCGACACCGGGTCCCCGAAGACTACGTTTAGTGGAACGTCATCAAATTGCCGCGCGGTCCTTGGGGGGGGGGGGCCCCCCCCCCCCACGTATCAGACGTCGGGTGGGGGGGGGTTAGGGGGGGGGTTATCCTCTATCCTCTCTTAGGTGTCCGACACGCCGAGCAATGTCGGCGGACATGTATACGTTTGTGAGTGCCGGCGCCTGCGTGACCTAAAACAGTAATTCAGCGAATTCGTATGACTACCTTTCACTCATTTGCTCGCTCTGCCACTCGCAGCACGGGGAATTGGTCGTGTTTGAACAATCAGTGTATTCCACGCTGTGGCAGTGGGTGCGATTGCTTGAGTCCAGTCCAGCCATGAGGCTCGAACAACACGGACAATAGCACCGACAACTCCACAGGCAGGTTGTGATTGTGCAGGGATGACCTTCGCGGGTGGTTTAATAAGCACCACCAGTTGGTTCCCAATTCAAAGGAGTGTCCCTCTTACGCGACATGTTCAAAGGAAGAGATGGGCTGGGAGAATCCTCTTTGAGTGACACAAACGAGTAGGGAAATCCTCATTTAGGCAACACCAAAAGGGGTCCATGTTTCTCAATTCAGAAGTGTCAATACTGTGTTACGCAAAACGGTCAGGGTGACTGAAATCGAATATTTCAAAATATGTTTCAGGCTGCAAACTGCCAA